AATACTTTAAAATCTTGTAAACACGCTCACGTGTTTAATACTTGTAAACACGCTGACGTGTACGAAGTCCTATAAATACGGCCGTGCTGTCTAGCGTTGATTCATTCGTGTCCGAGCCGTAGTACAGTACGGATCTCTCTGTAACGTTGTTATGCTTCTCGTGCAATATACGCAGTTCTCATGAAGTTTTGTTTTGGAAGCCCAAACATGAGTCATCGTCGAGAACTTAANCATCAGATCCAATAACCTTTGCATTAGATGCCTTCAGCTCTAATACTAGGGGCAGGCTTAGGGACCCCGGTAACCGTACTCGTCGAACTCGACAAAGAGGTCGACGTGCAACCTAACCCATGCATCAGCCCGCTGAGTTTCTCGCCGGATCTTCTCAGCGGGTCGCGATTCCGATCCGGTAGTAGATTCATTCGCGAAACAATTGCTCTTGAGTTGTTAGGTCTCCTTCGGAGGCGCTCGGGCAGTTGTTAGCAAATCCCACCCCTCTTGGCTGAGCCTTTGCTCGCCCACCTGTCCTGGTGAAACTGGAAAGGCCTTCGGGCCACCAGTAAACTTTCAATCATAAAAAAAAAAAGAGTGCCACACGTTTTTTTTTTTTTGGTTTGTGGAAAAGCTGATCACATCGATGTGACATCTACGGTCTTCTGTAACCACTTTACATCAGGTTAGCCATGAGCTAGTTCACCCATCTAGGTAAAAATCAATAAGTAAACAGAATAACACAATAATTCTTTCGCAAGCTCACTGAGCACATCAACAACTATTAAAACGAAGTTTCGATCTCAATAATCGAATAAGTTTTACGATTTATATCGTTTAGGCCAAACTCGATTATGGCCCCAGGTTAAAATGTTTCGGCTCTAAAAGCTTCACAGACGACTGCGTGAGCTCTGACGTCACTATCTATGGGGTGGAGCTTGGCTTTTATTTCATTAATAGTAAAAATCGTTAGCGAAAGACTGAAGTTGTAGTCAAATAACACGTTTGGAATACGTATGTACTTAGTTTGGCCATAAATACTATTACAATTAAAAATAAACAAAATATTACATTTGAATTTGGAATCTGTCATTTTTATATGATTGCTCATTGGATTTTCTCATTTTGGCGCCAATACATTGTACAATATTTTGCGATATTAAAATGGAGTTGGGTAATAAAGAGAAACGAATCGCTGTGATTGCATTACACAAAGTAGGTATGGAGCCAAATGCAATTTTAAAATTCTCCATACGCTTGGTATTAGTAAAATGTTTGTGTACCGGATTATTAATAGGTGCAATGAGACCTCCTCTGTTTGTGACAGAAAAATATCTGGCCGTCCACGTAGTGTTCGTACGAAAAAGGTCGTCAAAGCAGTAAGGGAAAGAATTCGAAGAAATCCTGTCCGAAAGCAAAATATTTTATCTCGGGAGATGAAGATAGCACCTAGAACCATGTCGCGTATTTTAAAAGATGACTTAGGACTTGCAGCCTATAAGAGACGTACTGGTCATTTCTTAACTGATAATTTAAAAGAGAATAGGGTGGTAAAATCAAAACAACTACTGAAACAGTACGCAAGGGGAGGTCATAGAAAAATTTTGTTTACGAATGAGATTTTTTTTACAATTGAGCAACAATTTAAAAAACAAAATGACCGTATTTATGCTCAAAGCTCTAAGGAAGCTTCCCAATTAGTCTACAGAGTGCAACGTGGGCACTATCCGACTTCGGCGATGGTTTGGTGGGGTATTACACGGAGGGTATTAGCTATGAAGGAGTGACTGAGCCATACTTTTGTGAAAAAGGTATCAAAACATCGGCAGAAGTGTATCAAGATACCATTTTTGAGAAGGTAGTGAAGCCCCTTAACAACACCATATTCAATAATCAAGAATGGTCCTTCCAGCAAGACTCGGCGCCAGGTCATAAAGCTCGGTCTGCGCAGTCTTGGTTGGAAACGAACGTTTCGAACTTCATCAGAGCTGAAGACTGGCCGTCGTCTAGTCCCGATCTTAATCCGCTGGATTATGATTTATGGTCAGATTTACGGCTTGCTCTAAACGCCATGATAATTTGGAGTCCCTAAAACAATCCGTACGGTTGGCAGTGAAAAAATTTTCCCATGGAAAGAGTGCGTGCTTCTATTGATAACTGGCTTCAACGTTTAAAGGACTGTATTGTAGCCAATGGAGACCACTTCGAATAAGCTTTTTATACTTTAAATTGTCTTATATTTATGTATTAAACTAACACACTATAAGAGTAATAAATGTTATTTGCAATAGATTTTTTTTCCTTTGTCTCAGTATTTATGGCAAGACTATACTATAATAGGTATATTATGTTCTAGAACGTTGGATTTATTTATTTGGATCGTGCGGACCTATGGAATGGTAATAATTATTTTTATTAATTTACACCATTTGATGTACATGGTCACTAGGGGAACAAATAAACTCGAATGAGTCAGGACACCGGCCAATGTTCAGGATGAATTTGTGGTCATCATGGCTAAAGGATAAGACTTCCGGTTTACGCTCATAGTTCACGGGATCCGGTAAGCTTTTAATATCGGCAATCGCAAATTCTTTTTTTTTTTATTGCCCTTGTAGGCAGACGAGCATACGGCCCACCTGATGGTGAGTGGTTACCGTCGCCCATGGACTTCAGCAATGCCAGGGGCAGAGCCAAGCCGCTACCTACCAAACTAAAAACATTAATTTTATTGGTCATTCAAATTAAATACGCTCAATTAAAGTTTCCGGATGCACTCCAATTGTCAGCACGTACAACACACGACCCCTAATTACATTACCCTCCCTCGGAGACAATAAATAAGTAATCAGATCTTGGCTGACAATACGGCGGTCAGATGTCCGATAATGATCCACATAGCCATCTGCTTGTGGTGTTTACTTGTGCTCCGCGTTGAGACGCGACACAGGATCTAAGTTTAGTTATTAAAGATTTAGTTCATACAGGGTGTAAAGGTCCCCTCCGAAGCCGATAAAGTACAGTCATTTGTTTAATCACTATACAACTAAAACAAATACCGATTGCATCGGTGCTTTTAAATTTCGTGACCCTCAATTTTCAAATTGCCTAATTACTGGTGGTACGACCTCTTGTAAGTCCGCGCGGGTAGGTACCACCACCCCGCCTATTTCTGCCGTGAAGCAGTAATGCGTTTTGGTTTGAAGGGTGGGGCAGCCGTTGTAACTATACTAAGACCTTAGAACTCATATCTCGAGGCGGGTGGCAGAATTAGCGTTGTGGATGTCTATGGGCTCCGGTAACCACTTAACACCAGGTGGGCTTTGAGCTCTGCCATCCATCATTGTTATAAAAAAAAAGAACGTATCGCATCAGACGAAGTTGTAAATACATAAGTATATACTTTTTGAAAAAGCTGAAATACCTGCTTAACGATTACTAGCATTAAAACTTGAGGGAAAAAAACTCGAAGTCTTATATTTGAATAGATTTGGTAAAACGAATATTATACCATCCTATTCGGACTTACTCTTCTCAAAGGAACGTTTGTACACTCAATGTACCTTTTACTGCTGCCGCAGTGACAAATAGACAGTGACGCACTTGATACCCGGGCTGGAGCCTTTCCTAGCCAACTATTGATCGAAGCTGCCGTATATTCCCTCCCCCCCCTCTCATCCCCCTTCTTGGATATCTGCCAAACAGGAACAATGGAATCACTTGATTTATATCTATGGCGTAAGACAGAAAATAGAGAGTTCATAAAATAATTACATCTTTTTTATTATCTGCTTATATGTGTGGACGATCTCACAGCCCCACCTGGTGTTAATTAGTTACTGGAGCCCATAGACATCTACAAAGTAAATGCGCCACCCACCTTGATATATAAGTCCTAACGTCTCAAGTATAGTTACAACGGCTGCCCCGCCCTTCAAACCGAAACGCATTACTGCTTCACGGCAGAAATAGGCAGGGTGGTGGTAGCTACCCGCGCGGACTCACAAGAGGTCCTACCACGAGTAAAAATCTATCGGAAAGTGAACGTTGAGTTGATAGCGTCGTCCAGTCCTGCTTATTTTTAGGAGGCAGCAGCAAGCCAGCTTTGTTCAAAGGACTAAGCGTGTTTTTAAGAAGCCACTTTCTAATGTCCAGCTGCCTATAGAATGCGGTCAATGCAAAACTATTTCAGCGCAAAATTACAACACTTATCCCATGTTAACAGACGATAATCACTTCGAGTAAGGTAAATAAACGGCAAAAGGATTTTCATTACAAGCTTAACGTCCCCTCAAAGCTAGATTCTTTGTTCGATCAAGAGCCACCGAGAACTCAATCTTTCAGCGGCCGAACAATAGTTTCGGTTTGGACAGCCAATGCAGTGGTGTCTCAGGATATACGTATGGCGCTCCGTTTGGTATTACTTAGTTTTCAGAGTCAGTTACTACCCGCTCCTACTTAAACTATGCGTCAAAGTAACTGGAGGACATCCCATATTTTTTTTTTATAGAGATTTTGTGACTTGGTAACTAAGACCTTTAGGTCGCGTCTTACTTTAATTTATATTCTTATTTTTATGAAAAATGATAATATGAAATGAAATGAAATAAAATGAGATGATACGGTATGGTATGAAATATAATCTCAGTAAATTATTGGTCCTTTACTGAGACTTTTTCAGTGGACTTTTCGAAGGATCCCGAGAAATTACGGTCAGGGCTTTGTTTGATTTTCCCACATTTGTGCATTTTCACAGATATTAAACAGTTAATAAACCACGGTTATTACGCATTTAAACTTGAAGAAGCACTAAATAGAGAAAATAAATCAAACCACACCACTCCACTCCTCGCGTTCCCGCCATCATATCAAAAAGTCACATCGCATACAGAATCGACCTACCTACAGATTAGTAGCCAGATACATTCCATAGACATCAGATACAAATACAGTGGAGCAGCGATAGGTCCACAAGGAATCAGTTAGAGATGAAATAAAACTAAAACACGTCATCCGTAACAAGTTGTACCAGTTGATTTCAATATCCAATCTCTATAAAAAGACACGTTTGTAAAGATAGCGTATTTGGTGTCGCAGTCCCTCGGCTTCACAGCCAGCACGCCCACGATCTTATCCTCGTAGTAGAGAGGGCCGAACTCGTGAACAAAACACTCTTCATACTCCGTTAAATCGATGCAAATCAAAGAGGCGTCCAAGTCCACGCCATACGATTCGAAGCATCTGTTGTAACTCGTGATTTGGACTTCGATTTTATCAAAATCGTTCGTCAAATACATTTTCTTGTCTATGGCCGCTACAGTTTTCCACAAAACGGCGGTAAGGACGTCCGTTTCTGGCGGGTTCCGGTCAAAAACGGAGGCTTTTGTCGAAAAAGGATAGAAGTCCACATTCAATTTTGCAACGGCCACGTCGTGTCTGAGGGTGGGCTTGCTCACGTTATATTTCTGGTGGAGCTTCCAGTATAAAACGGGGTACGTGTGACTGTAATTCTTCGTGTAATCGTGAAAGAGCAGGAGCCTGTGTTTCGTGTCACGTTTCACGCAATGCGCCGAAGTTACAATAAATTTAACCAAGATTACGCTGGCGAAACATGAAAAGGACCAAATCCCCGAGGTGTTAGCCACTACTGCGCCAACGTAAGGAAATCTTTCCGCGTTGTTCAGTGAATAATTCTCTTTGAGGTTTATGATGCCCATTGTTTTCGCGAGTTGGTACACGGAGCCAGTGTTCGAGTCTCTTTTCCTCTCCTCCATTGTTATGTCAGTGGCGAATTTTACCATAACACAAACTGCCAAGATTGCTATGATTATTAACACTGTCAGTATAATACAACCGGCTTTCATTTTAATAATTTTTATTAGGTTATTTGTTGTAGATGTTTGTTGTTCTGACATTGACAGGTTGTAGAAGATGTTTTAAAATGACGTCTGTGAACGCGCGAAAATTGGTTATTCATTTTGTCGTTGTCGTTACCTAACTCTGTCGCGAATCATTAACGTTCCGGCTGTATGACCTTTATTCCAATGCTTTTTTTTCCACATGAGAAAATCCCCACCCACACGGGTGGGGTATGTGGGAGTTGAACCTCACTAAAAACTCCTGCTGCTCACAGCCGGCGCCCTACCCCGGACCGGGTGGGAACCCAGTCGGTGCTATTGAGACGGCGCGATAGGGTTAACGCAGAGCATATTACATCCATCCCGCCGTCCCCCAGACGCCGGACGGCAGCCGCCAGCGACACGACCGCCGGTTCCCTCGGTCTACGGGCCAAGAGCCCGCATTAATGGCGCCGCGTTACACTTTATTCCAATGCTAGTGAAACTTACCTGCCATCCTCCTCCCCGAGTCGCATTCCTCATGTCTGAAGGTCGTGACCATCTCCTCCCATTACCTTTCTCTGGATAATGTTTCGCCTTCCTCCTCTGTTCTCGGCGGTATGGCATCGTAGAGTGTGGTATCCAGAGTGGTGCGGATTTGGTCGGACCAGCGCATTGGATTGCGGCCACGAGATCTCTTGCCTGCAATATTGCCAGTTACTAGTTGTCACCGCTCTTTCTGGCAATGTGACTGAAGAACTCAAATATCCTTTTCAGGCAGATGGTAGACAGCCTGGTTTGGATATTGAGCTGTCTTAATATGGATGCGTTCATCCGATATGTCGTCCACGGGATTCATAGCGTACCTGCCATACTTATTTTGAATTTTATTTATGATTTGGTGTGCAATAAAATAAAATACAAACTTTTATTTTACAAAGATTGATCCACGGACGTGTTATCGCAGGAAATAGGTAAAATAGTAGTCCCCACCCATACAAACCTACAATTCATTCTACCGTCATATAGTACCCAAGTTAAATAGTAAAACAATGCATTTTTTACGAGACACGCTTCAAGTGACTGATCCACATTATACATTCACTGATCATCAAATGGGCTTTAGATTATAATTTTCAGTGCAAATTTGAAACACACGGATCATATATTTTTAAACCATGTCTAAAGCAATTAGAGAAACGCGCAGACGATAAGCGACCTCACACCAAGTACAGTAAGGATTAAATTAAATAACTTTTTGAAGATAAGGGTGATATTCGCAAAGATTTTGCACGGAAAGTTCATAAACTGTGACAAATTGTATTGTATAGATAAAATTTGGCGTGTCGAAACAATATCTATCAATAACTAGATTTTTTGTAAAGATTATTTACAAGCTCCCTCAGCAATTTTCGGACCGTCAGTCTATTGAACCTTTATCAGCATTCACGGGCAGAGATTGAATGATGCCAACACCTCGGGGGGCTATTCCAGTTTCACCAGTTTGGTAGGCGAGCACGCGAGGCTCAGCCCGAAAGACCTTGCTAACACTAGCCCTAAGAGGACCAGTACTCTGATGAATCTAACACTGGTTCGGCATCGCGACTGAGAAGATCCTGCGAGAATTTATACGGATGCAGGCCGTCTGAGCGAACACTACACTGGCATAAGTCATGATCATGCAAGTTTTGTAGCGTGTTCATTATTACGAAGGCATTTAGGCATATCAAATCAAAGCCTCAATAGTATTGCTTGCAAACTGACAACGTAGGACCCGTGTTAGATCCCAACCACCTAAAGCCTACAAAAAGACGAGATTAACAAATTAAAAGTAGGTACCTAATAGGCCACTTTACTAATGGTAGGACCTCTTATAAGTCCGCGCGGATAGGTACCACCACCCTGCCTATTTCTACCGTGAAGCAGTAATGCGTTTCGGTTAGAAGGGCGGGGCAGCCGTTGTAACTATACTGAGACCTTAGAACTCACATCTCAAGGTGGGTGGCGGCATTTACGTTATAGATGTCAATAGGCTCTGGTAACCACTTAACATCATCAAAAAAGTACTGGGGATGCGACTAGGAGTCAGCGAGGCACACACAGGTGGTCGACCACAAAGCCGTAACCTACCGACCCTAAACGACATTGAGGTCGACTATTCATTTATCAAATAGCGAAATTTTTAATAATATCTGATGTTTAAATACTAAATAAACACCCATAAATATCAAACCGAACTAACAATTGATTTATTTTTTGTTTTCCTGTCGATAGGCTGCTCATGATATTAGAACGAAATAATTAAAGCTACTATTACAGTTTAATTTCGTCGACATTATTTACATATTCGTCATTTTTACTGGTGGTAGGACCTCTTGTGAGTCCGCACGGGTAGGTACCACCGCCCCGCCTATTTCTGCCGTGAAGCAGTAATGCGTTTCGGTTTGAAGGGTGGGGCAGCCGTCGTAACTTTACTGAGACCTTAGAACTTATATCTCAAGGTGGGTGGCACATTTACGTTGTAGATGTCTATAGGCTCCAGTAACCACTTAACATTAACACCATGTGGGCTGTGAGCTGGTCCACCCATATCAGCAATAAAATAAAATAAATAAACTTGAGGATTACATTTTCTTCATTGTATTCCATTATATTCCACTCTCCTATAGAACAATAAAGTTCCACGTGAGGCCCACCTGGTGCTAAGTGGTACCGAATGCGAGACCATCCCGCCTTGCGCACCGGAACTCATGACTGATTCTTGGCAGAATGGTGCTTGCAGAACCCACAAAAATTACGCAATTAACTATATAAATAACTAACCTTATTCGCCCGCTTGGCTGGGCATTTAAAATTAACATTATTATTTATTGTCAATATTTTTAGGGAGTCCAACACTCATATAAATATTAGCCTATCCATTAAGTACATATATATGTATTTTCTACATGGATAAAAAGTTTGAAGTCAATCGGATGCATGGTTTAGTAGTTATAATGGAACATTCGTAAAAACCAGTATAGATTTATATATTAGTATAGATAAGACATTGAGTTTTAATTGCTTCAACAAAATTATTGGTGGGATTGGAACCTCTGCACAGTCGTATCGGTTGATACGATTTTACTGGTTGGGTAAGAATAAGAATCCTTTAGGCCACAACCTAGATCGGGTTACAGAGAGGACCGACATAGTCAGGACTAGGACTAACACGTGCAGGGAGTATCAGCAGGAAACAAATCGAAAATATTTATAGCAAGCATGTGAAGATATCGTCCCATTATGTAAGTTGTAGAGCGGAGTATCGTGTTCAATGATGCGACCCACTCCACCCTCCTGCAGGGGACTCTTGTTTGTGATTTATTTCTATTGCTATTCTCGTTCGGAATGTCTTTTTTATTACCTAAAAAGGCAGACGAGCGAACCGCCCACTGATGGTATGTTCACCGCCGCTTATGAACATCCACAACGTAAGTAACCCTAGATTTTTTATTGGTTATATGTGTGGACGAGCTGACGGCACGGCTTGTTCCTGTGTCGTTTCCGGAAGCTGCGTAGCTCGTCAATCTACACCAGAAATATATAAACGATATTCAAAATTATGTAATTTTCAAATTAACTATTCATTTTATCTTCCACAAATTACAGAGTAGATTTCAACGCATTCCTCAATCGAGATATTCTTTTTTTTATTTATTGCTTAGGCTGGTGGACGAGCTCACAGCCCACCTGATGTTAAGTGGTTACTGGAGCCCATAGACATCTACAACGTAAATGCGCCACCCACCTTGAGATATAAGTTGTAAGGTCTCAGTATAGTTACAACGGCTGGCCCACCCTTCAAACCGAAACGCATTACTGCTTCACGGCAGAAATAGGCAGAATATTCTCAGCGATTCGTCTCAAATTCTAAAATCCAATCATACAATGCGTTCATTCGTCTTAAAACCGCCCGCGGCGTCAATCGAAATCTGTTAAAATATGTCCACCGCATTCCCTAATTCGCTATAAATATTTTTTAACATTTGTTCAAGTAATAAAAATTAAACAGTGAACAATTATTGTTGTATTATTTTTCCGCTGCTTCTCATTATTTCAGTCCCACAATGACTATTAGTATTGGACGAAGTGCGCGATGCATATAATTGAAATGAAAGAACAAAAGGGATAATCTCCCATTCGTCTCAGTGGTTGTTTTAAAACTTGAAATTGCAACGAACATTTCTTAAAATCATCAGACGAATTGATATGAAGAGTAGTTTGGGTGTGCTGTCGTTAATGCGGGTGCATTCGACCCGATCTTTGAGGAAACTAGTTCAGGCGATAGATAGGTATCATTATTGTGCAACAAGGCATATTATAAAGTTAAGGATTATCCACTAGATGGCACTACGTGGGAATGAAGCGTTCGCTCCTGGCCTTTTCATTTTTCATTATTATTATTATTTTGTAATTGTATTTTTTGACTTTTTTTTTCGTTTGTTGCAAATATTGTTACTTATTTTAAAAAAAAAATTGAGAAAAAAACAAAAAAAAGCCCGGTGAGTTTGTTTCGCCGCTTCTTCTCAGGACTGTGGCTTTTTTTGGAACCGGTAGTAGAGTTAACATTGTTATTTGTATTTTGACATTCAACAAGTGTGTCATACTGACATCTAAGTTGAAATAAATGATTTTGAATTTGAATTTGAATTGTCACAACATAGCGATGATAGCACCAGGGGGGTGCAACTCCCATACAAAGGAAAAGAACATTCAACTAGCGTCATCTTTAGGAACCGGCGAGGTAATTTTTGAAACGTTTTGGCCTTAATGAACTAATAAACTCACTAGATGGCAGATACGAGTTCTGACTCAATAAAAAAGGTTAGCGTACTTTGAAGCAGTGCTTCCACTTTTAGGGAATTCCCCTTTTTTAGGGAAAAATAGCTGATATTTTGGATGATAAAGACAATTTAAAAAATACCAGGATTTAGGATATTTCGGGGTAAAAAGCAAAGCCTATACTAGTAACTGTTGTGAATTTTAAAATAAACGATAATTAAAGTAAAACAATGAACATTATCTATCTATCTATCTCT